GGGAGCAGTCAGGGAGTAAATGAAGGGAGCCATCATTTTCAACTAATTGTTTTTGGTAATGCTATATACAATCCTTTCAACGTATGCTTATTACTGGAGATACTATATCTTTACTGGATAGATATCAGGCAGTTTATAACCAGGACTCTTTCCGGGAAGACACAGTTGAAGCTGGGCAAGAGCTGATGCAAGCACTGGCAGGTAATTGGAAATCGCGATGGTGCATGTAGGAGAGAACCTAGACGTAAAACAGCATGGCAGACAAGCTTTGAAACTCCTTAAAAAACAACCATAACAAAAGCATATGGACGTAACAGCAGACCAAGTAGCCAGCCAGCTGCTGAAGAATGGAAAAAAGTGCAAGGTAAAAAAGTGTGAGAACAACCATCTGAACAAAAAAAAATAAGAGGAAGGGCGATTAAATGCCCTTTTTGTGGTATTCGAGCTAGAGGAAGCTAGAAAGACTATGAAAATGAATAAAGCAGCAGGTGTTGATGATATAAGAACAGAACAGATAAAGCAGTTTAGTCCCCATACTCTGGAGTGCCGCCTACAATTGATGAACAACTGTATAGTTGAGTTTAAGATCTTAAAATTGTGGAGGCAATCTAGCATTGCTGCCTGACTGAAACCCGGCAAAGACTCAGATGATCTGAAAAATTACCCACCAATATCACTCCTCTGCCGTCTCTGAAAGGCACTGGAATGGATGATTCTCAACTGTATCTCTAAATTTATTGATGAAAAGATCATAAGGGAGCAAGCAAGTTTTAGACCAGGGGAGGTCATGTTGTGGCTAAATCCTAAACCTTGTGATACATATTGAGGATGGTTTCAAAAGAAAGCTAATTACTAGAGTGGTTTTCATCAACCTACCTGCAGCATATGACACTGTTAACCCTAGGATATCACTACACGAGTTAAATAATAAGATAATAAGCTTACCAGTGTCATTAGCAGCTTCTTTCAGAACCGGAGCTTTTATGTGATGCTGAATGTTAAGAACGGTAGATGGCGAATGCAGAAGAATGGCTGCCACAAGAAAGTGTATTGTCTCCAACATTATATAACATATATATGAATGATTAACCAGTCCCTAACAGAACAGGTCTATTCATCTATGCAAATGATACAGCAGTGGACACACAAGGATCAACTTTTGATGAGGTAGATGGGAAACTTATGGTAGCACTTGAAGAATTAGAACAATATTATACCATCAACCATTTAAAGCCCAACCCAAACAAGACCCAAGTGTGTGCTTTCCACCTTGCGAAATTGAGATGCAAAGGAAGAGTTGTGGCAAGGGAATGGACAGCACTGTCCAACACCCAAGTATCTTGGCGTGATACTTGACAGGATGCTCTCTTTTAAACAGCATTGCCTGAACACTCAGGCTAAAGCCAGTTTGAGGAGAAATGTCATCAGGAAATTGATAAACTACACATGGGGAGCTCAACCATCTATGTTGTGCAAATCAGCTTTGGCCTTGAGCATCTCTGAAACAGAATATGCTGCTCCAATGTGGGGTGCAGCTGCACATGTGAAACAAGCTGGTATTGCCATCAATACGCTCAGTAACGGGATGTCTCAAACATGCGAATTGAGAAAATATATTTCTCTCACTTGCATTGCCCCACCTAAGATAAGGAGAAAGTTTGCAATAGACACCAGGAGAACTAAGCTCGAGAATAGCCCTCAACATCTTCTGAACAGACATATGCCCCAAGCCAGCCAACTCAGATCTAGGAACAGCTTTATGGCAAGAACAAACATTCTTGAGAATATGCAAGAACAAAACTGAATTAAAAGATGGAGGAAGGAGACTATCGAGCAAGGTATCAGATTAAAGGAGGATATGGCTGAAGGATCTGACCTCCCTTATACTATTTGGAGGACCCCGAGTAGGCTGAGAGTTGGAGTGCCTAAGTGTAAAACCAATATGCTCAAGGAGAAGCTCTTAGCAGATAACAATACATGTGTGAATGTGGAGAGACACAGAGCCCAGCCCATCTGCTAATATGTCAGCTACTACTAGAAACATGTAATGATAATGACTTCTTTTTGGCCTTCTTTTTGTCTCTTTGGTTGAGACAAAGCCAAGAAGGTGACTTCATTCTGGCAGTTTAAACTTTGACCTAGACACAGAAGAAGAAGAACTTATACTGCAGCTCATTTTCAAATAATCATTGGGCAATCAGGTTTTTAGCCCATGACTAGCCAAAGTTACATAATACGGTTTAGAAAAGGCCACATAAAAAGAACTTCTGATTAAAGGACTTCTTCCAAATAGATCAGAAAGTATCACTTAAAACATAGTAGAACAACCCAGTGAGCTTATAGATAGGTTGAAGTCAACCATTTAAAATAATAGTAGTTTCCCTCCTTACTGTGGGACATGGATTTCATTGCTGATCCAACAGAGAGATTGGAATCAGTGGCCTTTCAGATAATGTGAACTCTTCCGATCATCCTGATCTGTACCATGCTGGCTAGAGCTATTGAGAATCAGAATTCAAAAACATCTGGATGTGGATGACCATAATTTTCATCCCCTATTGATAGAAATTATTTTATAAACAACAGAGTCCTATTCCATTTTTGACCCTGAAATGGCTTATAGCATTAATAGCACAGTTTCTACTATTAATTTCTGCAGGCATTCAGATTTGGAGCTTGTAGAAAATGCCGAGTCTTAAGAAGAATAAAAGTTGAGTATTCTTAGGCACCAGAAAAATAGTATACATAACTTACTTAAAAGTTTAATTAATTTCAAAAATTAATTAATTATTGGTAAGCATATTTAAGGAAGCATTTCTGCTGTATTATTACATTATTTTCCCTGAATTGAGCAGGAAAGCACTTTAAACTTTCATTTTCATTATTCAACCAGTAGAATAAAGATATGCTCTAAGGAAACTTTGGTTTGATTTCTATCAGTGTTCGGAAACAAGCATTAATTAGCTCATAGTACTGGACACTGTCAATCTCTTAAGCTCTTAGGATATGGCATTCTACTTGCCAGGTAGTAGCCCAATAGTAAAAAGGGTAGAATGGGAATAATAATGTTTATGCTACACAATTACTTTCTAATAAGAAAACACATGCACATTATGCATGACAAATCATTCAAAAATATTTCTTACGCTACACCCAATGTTATATGAATAGTATGACAGCATAGGAAGTAAAAAAAGTTATTTTTTTCTCCCCCTTTCTTTAAAATTCATATGTTATATTTCCTCCACTATTGCAACTGTTGATACACAATTGATTAAACTTGTTTACAATGTGGTTGGGCTATTAGTAGATGCCAGCCAGCTGACTTTACTTTGAAGCTCATGGAATTTGAGAATTGGCATTTTTATCCTATGGCTGTCCTTCCTCTATGAAAAGAGATATCTCTAAAACAGTTGATATGGTCTTGCATATGCCCCTGTTGCCACTAAAGATGTCTATTTCTCGAGAACAGATATGTTTCTTGAATGGTAACCTGCACATTTCCTTCATAGGAAAGCATTCAAGGCTTGCGCATTACAACATCAGAAACAGCCTGCTTTTAGAAAACTTTGATTATGAAGTTCAGGCACGAAGAAATGACCACCTAGCTATTACAGAGAAATGCCAAGCTCCCTTCAAATCCAGCTTTATCTCATGCAACTAAAAAGACTAGCCTATGCTTACCAGATGCATCTTTGCCGCAGCTCCTTAACAAAAGTGGACTTCTTTTCCCAAGATTATCCTAAAGCAGGTCCATGTGATGTTCTTGCCAAAGCTCTGGATTCAGGTAGCTATGGAAAGTATTACTTTTAGACAGGGAAACAGACCCAGCCCAGCCAGGATGAATGCAGGTTTTGATGTTCTTAATAATATCAAAATAGCCTCTTTGTCTTTAACCACAATATTTCTCATGAAAGATAACGTATAATTATCTCTGTGTTTATTGAACACATTCCTCCTTTTGCAGGTCAGGTTTGAACTGTAACACTGTTATGTCTTTGGGGAAAGTTTCTCAGTGGTTCATCTGGGCTACAAAGACTGTGAGCAGCCACCTTTCTGGTTCCCTGTTACTGGGAGGCTGGCCTTTAATAAACTGGTACAGCTATAAGAATTCCAACTAGCAATTTACATACCAATCTTTTTTTCCAACCAGAGTTTTATTTCCCACCTTTAGTAAACAGTCAGCATTCTGTATCTGTTCTTCATGCTGCTTTCTCGTAAGCTATTGGTTTGTTTAACTCTTTAGGACCTTACTTGCTATTTTTCTTCTATCAGCCTTGGGGTCCCCACTATACCCACTGTTAGTTCTGTTCCTTCTTAATGTCCCTCTTTTAAGTCTTCAGGTTATAGTTCTTAGGCTGGCTTTTAGCTTCCCCAAGTGGAACCTACAAACTATGGTGGTTTGTATGGTGGTTTTCTTCATGAAGGCCTCCTGCCATACCTTCTAGAAGTGCACTAAAAGGGTCATTTCCCTCCCTCTCTTTCCTCTTCTCCCTTTCTTCCACCGTAGACATTGAAACCACTGAATGTTTTCAGTCCTCACTGTTTAGCTTTCTCTCCCCACCCTTAGAATATAATAGATTAACTGATTGATTTATAATTTATAAATGTTAATACATTTTATAATTTTATAAACTTTATAATTTCATAAATTTTATGATTTATATAAATCTCAGGGATACCCTAAGCTTACTGATACTAAAGATCATAATTTTTAATTGGCACCAGTTATTTCACCAGCCCGGAAATGCTAAGAAAACAGACAAGGAAGGCATTATATTTCTTTTCCCTTTGCTGCTATCACTTTGTTCACAGGCATTCTCTTCTTTGCTGGTTGCCAGAGCAACTTTTCTTAAATTGAGGGTGAGAGTTCATTCCTCATGTGACTGGTACGTTAACTTTCTGGTTGCTGAGTCAGAGAGGGGGTAGACACACCTGCAACTTGTGCAGGGAGTGGTTTGACGTGGTATCAGATTAAGGCAGACTTCTCCCCTCCTTGTTTCTGTTCTGATTAAATTCACCTTAATCCTGGAGACTACCTTTCTGTGAAATGCAGTTCCTGTTTTCTCTCAGGCTGTTATTTAGATTTTCTTTTCCATCATTGCAGGAAGTCTGATCTAAAATAAGGCTGCAGGCATTAAGGCCATAATTGCCATGTGGACAGCCTGCACTCCTGCTGTTTTTCTAGGGTGGGGGTAGATTTGTGCCTCTCCCTCAGCTCTTCATGCGTATCTGTACAAGTGGCGCGAGTGACGTGACCCTCTCACATACGGCCAGCACTGATTCATGCCGGTAAGCTTTCTCCAGCCATGCTGAAGCAGATCCTTTCAGACATGTATGTGGATCCAGAGCTCCTAGCTGAACTCAGCGAAGAGCAAAAGCAGATCTTGTTCTTCAAGATGAGGCAGGAGCAGGTGAGAAGGTGGAAAGAAAGAGAAGCAGTAGCTACAACCCCAAAGCCAGTACTGAGGAAAGGTCAGTGTGACCATTTTCTTTCTTATTTCTCATCCAGAATTTTATTTTACTTTCCAAGCATTGACACAAAGTTTGCCATGGAATAAGTATCAATGGTGTTATTGAATGAAAAACCAAATGTTCTGTAGCTTTAAATAATGTGTGCTTTTGCATAAATCATTAAAACTTTAATCTGAATAACCAGCTGATTAAATAAGTGAGTCTTTTTCCTAAATTCTAAGTATGAAGTGAGCCAAAGATGAGATTGACTAGTGAAGTTAAGCAAATTTGACAGGAATACTTTTTCATAGCTTCCTCATAGGGAACATCCATCCACGTGGCACTTTGTCCAGTACTCTTCTCAAATTAAAAATCCCATTGATTGTGATATGACATTATTTTTATTTTTTTATTTTTATTTTATTTTTTAAATTTATATCCCGCCCTTCTCCTTACGGACTCAGGGCGGCTAACAACGGATAAAAATACAAAAATAACACACTACAAGTTTAAAAATTAATTAAAAGGGAAATATTAGTAATTTGGTCTAATTAAAATTATAATTAAAACCCCCTCTAAAAGTTTCCCCTAGGCCAGTCCCGCAAGCTGGAATAACCATGTCTTAAGGGCGTGGCGGAAGGAAGGGAGATCAGGGATCACCCTGATCTCTGGGGGCAGTTCATTCCAGAGGGTGGGAGCTCCCACAGAGAAGGCCCTC